TCAGGGAAACCAGCTGCGGCCAGATCCCTCCTGCTCCTAGCACACGCACACATGCTGCCCTCGTCTGCCTTGGCAAGGCCGCCCTTCCTGCACAGATCCCTGAGCTGGGGTGCCCCATCTCCCACGGAGCAGGATCACCTGCACCCTTTCTTCCTCATAGAGAGGAGAAACAGGGTACGGAGCCCTCGCCCTGCAGCAAGCAGCACCACCACCAGCACCCAACAGCCTCTGCCCCAGCCCAGCCCTCACTGTGCTGGGGTTGGGGAGGGAGCCTCCCTGCTGCAGGAGGGACTGACACTTCGCACCCCCAAACAAACCCCACGACCACCAGGACCGAGCCATGTGCACCAGGAGAGGAAAGGCTCACAACCCCAGACCTGCAGCCAGGTGACGACATCCACAGAGACCCCTCTAACAGCTGAAGATTGCAGTGCAGAAGGGGCCAGGTGGCACTGGCAGCTCCAGTGTGGGCTCAGCTCCCTGCACGGTGAGCCCCCCGGCCTGCCTGGGAATGGTTTCGCTGTGGCCCCTCATGCTTCTGGGAAGCATCGAGCCTTTCGCCATGGCTGGGCTTGCAAACACACCAATGCCGCCAACCAATAAACGCCTCGCTCGGCACATGTGCTGTGAGGAAGGGGATCCCAGCACGGGCCGGGGGTGGAAGCAGCCTGCCTTTGGCTCAGGCGTTCAGCTCTCCGACAGCGCCAACGCCTTGGCCAGAACAGGCTTCCCCAGCGCCTGGGGCCACCTCCGCAGCATGGCTGGGCAGAGACAAGGCGAGAAGACGGCAGGGAGCAGCCAGCGCACCGGGACTGCTCCCTGGCCTCGGCGGGGGGAGGGCATGCTGCAAGGAGCAGGGCAGGGCAGGAAATGCAGCCCCCCCTCCCCGAGGGTGAAAATGGACTGGAAAGAGGATAAAAAAAGAAAGCGTGAAAAAAGCCAAGAGAAACAAAGTGCTCGGGGAAAAACTCCTTAGAAGGAAAGGGGCGGATGCTTCCTAATAACTCGACCAATTCACCCTGCTGCACACTGAACACACGTGGGGGCACCCCGGCACCCTGCCCCTCACGCCCTTGCC